TAACCCTAAGAAATTTTGGATAGAACCAAAAATCATTTATAGTATTATAACAATAGTGCATGTTGTTTCCTATGAAGAAAATATTATGGAACAACTAGAAAGTTCTTTTTCCAGCGGAAGAGCTGAGTTATTTGTTCTAGTTGAAGAGTAAAGTGTGCAAGCTTATAAGTCCTTGAGTGGATTAAAGCTAGTACCAAGACAATGACATAAATGTGATGTATAAGTCATTGTATGCCTTAAAAAAAAAATTTAATGATATACTAATTATTATATTTAATATGAAAGATTTAATATCTAATAACATAGTATATTCTCAATAGAGTGAGATTGAGATAATACTAGTTATGATAACAAAAGCCTAGCTAACTTTTGTAGATGTAAATCTCAAATATAAATACTAGCCAAAGTATATCATTGGTTGAGATTGCAAGGCATCTTAATAACTGTGTTTAATTGCACATTTTCAATCCAGGATCGGATCACTAAAAAAACAATAAATTGGGTAGTTGAGATACACCCTAAATCCAATATTGCATAGATCGAGGTATCTAACTAAATTGGAGGTGTAACAGTGATGCAATCTGGATATGGGATATTAAAGACTTCAAATCCAATAGTGGATATGTCTTTTATATTAAAGGTGTAGTTGTATGTTCTTAATATAACTCAAAGTTAGAAACTTTGAATAAATCAAATAGGGAAGTCAATAGACTTCACCTAAAGGAAAATTTAAAGTAAGTCTACACCTGTGCCACTAAAGAAAATGATATTGCTAACAATAAGCAATTTTAGGGCACAAAGTATACAGTTGCTCTCACCTGGAGAAATCTCTGCAGAGTGTAATATTTCTAAACACAACCTTGTGGCCACATATAAAATTGAAGGTTGTACTAGAGAGCAATTGTACAGTTCATCGAGGGGAATGGGGTTTAAAGCCGAAAGCTAACGAGTCACCTTAATGGAAACCCAACCTAGCTAACTGGAGATCCCAAAATCTAGGTTCAAAGGGACAACAGAAATTCTGAGTGACTCACCAGAAGCACTGGGAAGATATAAATCTTCTACCCATTTCTATGATGAGACAGTGCTACCTACAGCGATGATCAAGATAAGCTACACTTTTAATGACTCTTATACCTTGAAAATTCAAGTGGGGTTTGGTAGGATACTCTTAATAAGAAGTCACCTATATGAATGTGAAGTGGGGCCGCTTCTATGAGAACTATAAAGGCTAAGTTTTCTAGAGCACTCATTGAATACCAGGACTTGTTCAGGGCCAAAATGAACACAACAATGAGAACCAACTTTGTGAGGAAAGCTACTGTGTGTTTGTTATTGTCTTGGTTTACACAAACGGCTGAACAGTTCAAGACATCGCGTTCACTAGTTAGCCAGTAAATCCGATAGCAATACACTAGGGAAGGTTCAAAGCCAAAAGCCACCTATCCTGATGCAGTAACTTTTCGACTATACTCTCTCTAGTGTCTGCATGATCATCTTTTGCATTTTACGCAAATTTCCATTCATGTGGGGGATTGTTGGAAACGGGGGCATTAAAAACATAAACTTTGGATGAGATTTGAAATAGATTCTGCTAATAATTTTTTTACGGATCTCTAGACAAGCGCGTTTCTCTCCGCAAAGAGATGAACGTGGTATATTTACTTTCTGAAATCCGTTTCCGGATGAATGAGAAATTAGTTCCAAAGTGAGGTGTTTTGATAAGCCTAAATGGGTATGCAAAATGTGGGAAGTATTTGTCCCACATGAAAAAAATTGTTGAAACAAATTGAAATTTAAATAACCTGAGTTTAGGATTTGGGCTTGGGCCTAATTGTAAAGTCCAGATTATTCTTTTTTGGAATTTTGGATTGGGCCTAATTTTGGGCTGGGCTTATTTAAATGGGTTTCACAAATAAGTAGGTTTTTTGGGTGGTTGATTTTTTGAATTAAAAAAACTACTTTTTAGTTTTGCTAAAAGGTTACACCTTTTAAATTAAAAAAACCATATTTTAGTTTTTCTAAATGGTTACACCTTTTAAATTAAAAACTACTTTTTAGTTTTTGTTCAAAGGGTTACACCTTTTTCCGAACCATCATGACCGATGGTTGCACCCACTCGAAAAGGCACATTGCAACCTATTGGAATGGATGTGTCTATTGGTGAACAGACACCATGTGAACCATTGCAACCTATTGGAACAGATGTGTCTAGTGGTGAACAGACACCATGTGAACCATTGCAACCTATTGCAATGGTTGTGTCCAATAATGAAGAGATACACCCAATCCGAAAAGGCATATTTATTTCTATAAATACCCCCCTTTGGATCATTTGCAATTCATTCATTTTCATTTTCTTCTATCTCCCTCTCTAGACTAGAACCCAACCCAAGTTGGTTCAAACCATAGGTTAAGTGGTTCGAGCCACTTCGACCCTAATCCAATTTCATCGAGCCATATTAAGATTGGTCCGAACCATTTGGTTCGGATTACACCCAATTCAGTATTTATATAGTATATAGATGCATTTTTGAGTTAGAGAGAGTATTACACGGAGGAGGTTCGCCGTATCCACGAGTTTGTAGTGCTGCTACTGGTGGGTGTAAACCGTTGTATCCTGGGAGATAGACGCCACTGAGTCCGTTAGCACTATAGCGGGGCGAATCTGTCTTAAGGACATAGTATCCAATACTAGCCTCGGTCCAGGTTCATTCCTTGCTTATTATTATTATTTTATTACTTTATTTTGCATATTTAATTAAATATAGAGTTGCATATTTAATTAATGATTTATTAGTATATTGTTAATTATCTCATGACATATTAGTATAAGGGTTGTTATATTTTAAAAGTCACATTAAGCATATATTTTTCCAACAAATACTTACATTAGAATGTAAAGTTTTAGACTAAGAAGAAGAAAGAATGAAAATTTCATTGAATTACCTAATCCAGAGACATGGCAATAGAAGTCTTCATAGATTAGTGGTATTAGAGAATTGTTTTTTTGGCTTTTTACCCAACTAAACCACCTAATTTTAACTGATTTAGGTTTATTTTAATAAAATTGTAATTTCCTGGAACTTTAAGAAAAATTAAATATTATTCTATAATTTTCCATAATTTTAAATTAATTAAGAATACAATTAAATTTGGTTGACCCAGGAATGAGCCACCAACAGGTTTGGCTCGGCAAGTAGACCTTAGAGGCCCCTTCCAGCGACCAAGCCACCATCCCATTTGTACAAATGAGTCCCGTAGTTGACACAAAGTAAAGCATTAGCAATTGCAAATCCAAAAACTTGGAAGTGAATGCATATGGTTTCTTAAAATTAGCATTAAGAACATGTATATGCTCACTGTGGATAGTATGCAAATTGAGCCTGGACAACAGTTGAGAGCAGAAACTATTGAAGTCAAACACGCACGCTGTATCTAAACATAACTGAGTTGATATACTAACAGAAAGAAAGTGCCACATACTGAAAAAAGAAGCTGCTGCATTGGAGTTGGTTTCTGATTTCCTTTTTATATCAGATGGGACTTCGAATTCAGGGAAAATAATTTGACATGTGGATTGTTTTGGTGACTCTGAGATGCCTTCATCCATTCATCTTGCATTTCTGTAAGCTGTTCTTGGAAAGCTTCTCATGTTTTGTTCTTCTCTGCCCTAACTTTATGTTAAGGGGCCGCAAATTTGATAGTGTTCTTCTAGAAAAGAGAGAGTGGAAAAGCCCTAGTCAAAGAAACAAAGGAAGAAGAGGAAGGAGGAGTAGGAGGATAAAAAGAAAAACAAAAAGAAAGGTTATTATGAAGAGAGCTTGAAATGCAGGGAGCAGGCTCAATACTTGTTGAAAAAAGAAAGAAAATTCAAGAAGTAGATCTTTTGGGGAATAATCGATTGCAAAACAGTGGGACAGTGTGCTAAATAAACTTTCATAATTTAATCTTAGCATTTTGACTCAATTTCTTTTATAATTGTAAAATGAACCAAGCCATCAGATGGCACCCTTCTGGTCTAAGAATTGGGTTACTTTTAAAATTGAATTGTATAATACACAGGTTTTACTGCATTCACTCATTCTCAAATTCAATCTTTCAGTGTCAAGATTCGCCATAAAGTTATAACAATGATGAAATTAGCTTCACCAATAATCAACTTGAAGAAAGTTCTCAATACAGAAATGGAGGAAAATGGTATATTGATTGAATCATGAATTGAACCAACAATGTCACACTTGCACAAAGAAAACGAACGCTATATAACTCATTTATATATGCTCTAAAAAAATAGGAAGATTACAGTTTCTGGATAAAAAAAAACACAAAAATAAGTTGGGTATTTGCACCATTACAATTGAAAACCAAAATCATTAATTTACCAAATTGAAATAGACTGGTCTTCTAGACAAACAGACAATGGTATATCACACCAAGCCTAAACCACTACTACAAAAGTACCCGAGAATTCAATGCACCACGTTGTTGAGTTTCGAGTTCTAATTGCTAGAACTAAAATAGAGATCTCAAAGTTGCTCAGAGATTAATGAATTTGAATTGATTGCCATGTTGTATTTCAAACAAAAGCAAAGCAAATTCACTATGCAAGAGTAAACAATGAGAAACCAATGTCTAGTTGGAATCAGAGATGTATTACCTTAAAAAGTCCACTATGTACCTCATTTTCCCATATCCTAGTTACTTCGAAAGATTCAACTTCTCCTGATATAACTGCAAAAGCTCAGGAGCTTCTACCTCGTATTTTTTCACATACTTCTTTAGGTATTGACTTTTAGGAGAGTCCAACATCGTGAAGCTAAATTTCTTCTCAATCAAACCTTTCGACAACAGAATTTGATAAACCAAACACCTTGGAATGAACCTCCTCTCCAAGCTCAGGGACAAAAGCTTTGGCGCCCTCACAACAATTGAAGACTCCCAACCCATTTTATTGACAAAAAAATCCATTATCCTTATAATCTTATCCTCCGACGTCATCATACAAGATGGATGCTCCTAAAAGCCACTAAAATCTCATCCTCAGACAAACCCCACTTCATGTAAACCTCCACCTTCTTCTCCCAAGTTGATTTACTCATTTGCCTCAGTGTCCGAATCGCTAAAGCAAAATTCACCGTGACAGGGTTGAAACCCATTTTCTTTACTTCCTCCACACTCTCCTTAAACCTAACAGTACTAGTCATGAAAACTCTGGGATGATTCGTAAGGAGTGTCACAATATTCGATTCGGGCACACCTGATTCTCTCAGAGCTTCAATATTGGGTGCCACACATATGTGAAGATCTTGCAACAAAAGGTCAGCATTGCGTTTAATAGATGCAATTGTTTTTTCTTCAGACTTAAGCAATTTATTTAAGACATTGTACGATGGTATTATATGATTTTCCAAACTTCTGCGCAAAATAGTTGGTTTTGCAGTCAATATTTTGGCAATGTCTTCGGTTGAAACACCTTTAGAGTGGAAAAATATGATTTTGGGAAAAAGGGTTTCCTCGGGATCGGATAAGAGTACCCGAGGGTGTCTTCTGATGAGAACTGAGATCTGGGTTTCGGTGAATCTATGGCTGCTGAAGAATGCGAGAACAGAGTCTGGTTTGTGTGGCATTTTGAAGTTCATGCACTTGGAGGCTAAGAGAGCTTTTTCTAGAGGAAACCCACATGATTTAACGAGGTAATCGACTATGAATGAGTGTTGATTTGAAGTGCTAGGTGTGGATTTGAGTGTTGATGATGATGAAGAAAATGGGTGGTGTTGAAGAATACCCAGTTTTTGGGTTGGTGAAGTTGATACAACACACCTCAAATAAGGCAAAATTTTTAATATGAAATTAAACATGGACAATAAAGATGGAAGGAACTCACCTGTTCTGTTCTAGTTATTCAATGGCAAATTTGGATCTTCTTCACTAAAACCCTCTTTCCTGATGAACCCTAAAATACACTCCGAATTTGTAAGCGGTTTATTATACTGCCTTACATCGTTTCCAGAGAAGAATCCCCTTAACCAAGAAGTGTTGTTTACAAACAGTGTCACCACAGTCCACAACTCCGACTGGCAATAGGGTTTTGAATTACTGTAAAATTACTTAAGACATTTGAATCTTCAAATCCCATTTCACTATGATCACCCAATAATGAATCGATCACTGCTCTTTTTCTAGTTTGTAGAATTGTGCTTGTTTTCAAATTCAGTCCAGTAATGTTAGGTTTATTTCCTTCTATATGGAGGAAAGCTCGAGTGGGTTTTATTAAAGCCCAAAGCCCAGCTCTTTAGGGTAAATAACCCTAAGGAAGTCAGAATAAAAAGGGAGAGAGGTTAGCCGCAAGTTTCAGAAGAAGAGAAGGAAAAAACGCAATTTTTCCATTCTACCCAGATTTCATCAAACGCCCGATTGAGCTGAAATTTGGAGGAGAGGTTCACGACTCAATGAGTTAAAATTTGAACGGTAGAGATCGAATTTTGAGCTCGGGAACAGTGATTCGTGACCATGAACAGTAACCGGGTTTTGGTATTTTTCTCTTCAATTCTCTTTGTTTTTGCCAAGATTGTTGCTATCTTGATGAGATGTTTTGTAACCTATAATTGCAATTAGAGAAGACTTTGTGTACCCACTATTTGGTTGATAGTGGAGTTTTTAATTGGACTAGGTCCCGTGGTTTTTCTTCCTCACACTGGGGAAGTTTTCCACGTAAAAAATTGATTGTGTTCTTGTGGCTTTGTGTGATTGATTGTTTCTTTATTATTTTCAGCGCATAAAAAACTAGAGATATACTATATTTGCTTGCATATAGGAAGAAGAATTATTCCGTTGTGTTTGTTCATTGTCATCTCTCCCAACAAAGTGGTATCAGAGCTCTAGGTTGACAGATTGTCAGGTTAGTAGTTTGAGTTATGAAAGCAAATACGAGTAGAATGATTAATCTCAATGGTTCAAATTATCACATATGGAAAGGAAAAATGGAGGATCTTCTTTATGTGAAAGATTATTACCTACCGGTGTTTAGTGCTGAAAAACCAGAAAACAAGACTATTGTGGAATGGACTTTGTTACATCGACAGGTGTGTGGGTATATGAGGCAGTGGGTAGATGATAATGTTTTGAACTATATTAGTGGAGAGACAAAAGCACATTCTCTATGGAGTAAGCTTGAACAGCTATATGCTAGAAAAACTGTAAATAATAAATTATTTTTGATTAAGCAGATGATGGCTTCAAGATACCAGGACGGGACTCCTTTATCTGATCACCTGAATACATTCCAATGAATTATTAATCAGCTGGCTGGAATGGGTATTAAGTTTGATGATGAGATATAAGGGTTATGGTTGCTTGGTTCATTACCAGACTCGTGGGAGACGCTCAGAACTTCATTGTCTAACTCCGCTCCGGAAGGTGTAATCACAATGGATATGGCCAAGAGTTATTTGCTAAATGAAGAGATGAGAAGAAAAACACAAGGATCCTCTTCACATTCAGAGATCTTGGTTACAGAAAAGAGGGGGAGAAGTAAGAGCAGAGGTCCAAAGAACAGAGATAACAGCAGAAACAAGTTCAACAAGTTTGCAAATGTTGAGTGTCATCATTGCGGGAAAAAGGGACACATCAAGAAATATTGCAGGCAATTGAAGAAAGAAAACAAGAATGAGAAAGGGAAGGGAACTAAGAATAGAGATGACAAAGATGGTGATGACAGAGTTACTACCAACACTCCTGCGGACTTCCTTATTGTTTATGATGATAAGACGATAAATGTTGCATACCATGAGACCAGTTGGGTGATTGACAGTGGTACCTCCATTCATGCTACATCTCTGAAGGATTCTTTACATCCTATAAATCTAGTGATTTTGGAACAGTAAAGATGGGCAACGATGGCTTGGTTAAAGCCATTGGAATTGGGGATATGTATCTGAAGACGAATAATGGCATGAAGTTAGTTCTCAGAGATATGAAGCATGTTCCTGACATTCATTTGAATTTGATTTCTGCAGGTAAACTTGATGATGAAGGGTATTGTAGCACTTTCAGTGATGGCCAGTGTAAGCTTACTAGGGGTGCTATGGTTGTAGCTCGAGGCATGAAGAACTCTGCACTATACGTTCTGCAAACAAAGATCTTCAACGACATTGTTAATGCGATGGAGGATAATGATACAACAGAGTTGTGGCACAAAAGACTGGCTCACATGAGTGAGAAAGGATTAGCTCTACTAGGGAAGAAAAGTCTAATATGTGGACTGAAAAGTACACTTCTGAAAAGGTGTACTTATTGTTTGTCAGGGAAGTAGAGCAGAGTCTCCTTCAAGAATTCCCCTCATTCCAGAAAGTCAGAGATACTGGATTTGGTACATTCAGATGTGTGTGGCCTTATAAAGACGAGAACACTTGGTGGCTCCAGATACTTTGTGACCTTCATAGATGATCATTCAAGGAAGTTGTGGGTATATACCTTGCATTCAAAAGACCAAATATTAGCAGTTTTTAAGCAATTTCAAGCCCTAGTTGAGAAACAGACTGGGAAGAAACTGAGATGCATTAGTACTGATAACGGCGGAGAGTATTCTGGTCCTTTTGATAAGTATTGTAGACAACAGGGCATCCGGCATCAAAAGAAAACTCCTAAAACTCCTCAGTTGAATGGCGTAGCAGAAAGGATAGATAGGACACTGGTTGAGAGAGTGAGATGTTTGTTTTCACAAGCCCAGTTGCCAAAATCCTTTTGGGGGGAGGCATTAAGCACAGTTGTTCATATATTGAATCTTACACGCTATGTTCCTCTACAGTTTGATGTGCCAGACCGAGTTTGGATAGGTAATGATGTTTCCTATAATCATTTACGTGTTTTTGGGTGCAAAGCATTTGTGCATATTCCAAAAGATGAAAGGTCTAAACTTGATGTGAAAACGCGACAGTGTATATTCCTTGGCTATGGCCAAGATGAGTTTGGTTACAAGCCTTATGATCCAGTTGAGAAGAAAATTGTGAGAAGCAAAGATGTCGTGTTTGTAGAAGATTAGACGATTTAGGACATTGAGAAAGCAGGGAAATCTATGTCTCAGCAAGGTGATATCTTGACTGATGTAGATCCAGCTCCTCTGAAGAATCTGCCATCTCAGGTTGAGAATGATGTTCAAGATGACCACCAGTATACAGGTGATGTGGATGTTCCCCTATAGGTTTAGGGAGATGTTAAGACTGATGAGCAGTTGACAGCGCCAGAGATTCCACCAGAGATTCCATCCAGGAAGTCTCCCAGAGACCGACGTCCTTCCACTTGGTATTCAGCAGAGCAGTATGTGTTATTGACTGACGGGGGAGAGCCCCAGTGTTTTGCAGAAGCAATAGAAGATGAACACAAGACAGAGTGGGTTGAGGCCATGCAAGATGAGATGCAGTCATTGCATGATAACCACACCTTTGAGTTAGAAAAGCTACCTAAAGGAAAAAGTGCTTTGGAAAACAAGTGGATTTACAGGAAGAAGCCAAATGGGTTCTCTTCACAGCAACGATACAAAGCTAAATTGGTTGTCAAAGGGTTCGGTCAGAGAAAAGGTATTGACTTTGATGAGATCTTCTCTCCAATCGTAAAGATGTCATCGATCCGTATAGCACTCGGCCTAGCAGCTAGTCTTGACTTGGAAGTTGAGCTGATGGATGTGAAAACTATCTTTCTTCATGGTGATTTGGAGGAAGAGATTTATATGAAGCAGCCAAAGGGTTTCAAAGTGAAAAGGAAAGAGGATTATGTGTGCAAGCTGAAGAAAAGCCTATATGGTTTGAAACAAGCACCGAGACAGTGGTATAAGAAGTTTGAGTCTGTTATGGGGGAGCAAGGCTACAAGAAGACAACTTCTGATCACTGTGTATTTGTTAAAAAATTCTCTGATGATGATTTTATTATTCTACTGCTTTATGTGGATGACATGTTGATTGTTGGCAGGAATGCTTCAAGGATTGACCAGTTGAAGACGCAATTGAGTAAGTCATTTGCTATGAAGGATTTGGGGCCAACAAAGAAAATTCTTGGCATAAGAATCAGTCGTGATAGGAGTGCCAAGAAGTTATATTTGTCACAGGAGGAGTACATTGAAAAAGTGCTTTAGAGGTTCAATATGGACAATATTAAAGTGGTTAGCTCTCCTCTTGCTACCCACTTCAGACTGAGTATAAAATAATGTCCTTCTATAGATAAGGAAAAGGAAGACATGAAAAGAGTTCCTTACGCCTCAGCAGTAGGAAGTTTGATGTATGCAATGATTTGCACAAGACCAAATATAGCCCATGCAGTTGGTGTTGTTAGCCGATTCTTGTCAAATCCGGGAAAAGAACATTGGAATGCAGTGAAGTGGATCATGAGGTATCTTCGAGGCACTTCCAGTTTGAGACTTGGTTTGGGAAATGGACAACAATTATTAGTTGGCTACACAGATGCAGATATGGTAGGGGATGTGGATACTCGTAAGTCTACTTCGGGTTATTTGATCACTTTTGCAGGTGGGGCTGTAGGTTGGCAATCGAGACTTCAGAAGTGTATTGCTCTTTCTACCACAAAGGCAGAGTTTATTGCAGTAACGGAAGCGACTAAAGAGTTGCTATGGGCAAAG